TAAAAAGGGAAAAGAAAAAAAAGAAAATAGAAAAGAATTATAATTTTTAAATTTTTTTAAAAATTATTTTTTCAAAAAATTTTTTAAAAAAATTGATAAGAAATGTTTCGGTCCATTAAGTTTTGCTTCCTCTTTATTTCATGGTTGCGTTGACCAATGCTGCATTGACAGATGGTTAGTTCCGTGACGATTTGGACGTTTTTTAGGCAAATGAGTGTTTGTTGTAAATTTTCAGCTGAACCATGCATGCAAATTTTCAGTCCTTGTTTGATCCGTTGTGAAAAAAAAAATTGTACAAATTATGGTAGTGCCTTGGTGAGCACAGTAATTTTGTTAAATCTCCCTTGGGTCTGTTTTAAGTCTTTTCGTTTATGCAAATTTTGATGTAAAATTATGTAAATTTTTGATGTGCTTGCAGGAAATACGTAGTATTTGTGACCGGTATACAGATATGGGTCTGCCGAATTTTCCATCCGGCATCGCTTTTACATTTTGGGAGCAATATCTTTACCTAAGGTAAAATTTTTAGAAATTTTTGATCTATTTTATTGTTCATATCATTTGCTTTATGGTACTTTAATTAGCTATCCTTTCAACATAGCTTATTCAGTATTCAGTTTTTTTTTTCATTATTTTCTGCTGAGTTATTTTATTGAATCAAATCAGATATAGTCCCCTTCATTACTCACTTTCTGAAAAAGGTATAGGCACTGAACACCCACCGAAAAGGCTGTCAGTAGCTGAAGAGTAGCCCTTCTACTGAATGAACGAATCGTAAAGGGACTGATTGTCTGTGACGAACTCGAACTGTTGACCGCAGCGGAAGCTTGAGAATAGCGCTGCTTGCCATCGTGTCGCGTTCACCACTTATAGCGTTCAGGGATGAAACACAGACAGGACAACAGCTAATGCATATACAGGCTGGCTTATCCGGGTATCTAAATTGGCACTTCCTGCTTTCCCACAACTGTCAGTATTCGACTGTGTCCCTCTTCTTATCGGCGGGCTTATGGTGCCAAACAAACTTTCATAGTTTGATTAGTAAAAAATTTCCAAAACAATTATATAATTTTGAAGAAATCCTCTAATTTCGGATTTTTATTTTTCAGTTGGAATTTATTCGTTGCAATTTGTGTGATTGCATGTTCCGTATTTATCGTCATCTCAGTTTTGATATTCAATCCATGGGCAGCTGTGATGGTAATGATTGTTGTTGTAACGATGACCATCGAGCTGGCTGGTTTCATGGGTGCTACAGGAGTCAAGCTGAATCCGATCAGTGCAGTAACATTGGTCACAGCAGTTGGAATTGGTATGCTTTCGTCGTTTTCCATTGAAAAAAAAAATCACGGAATCGGGAAAATCGATGTTTTGAAATCCACAAGGAAGATGAATCCGCTGCGACCAAATTTAGAGGTTTGAGAGAAGTTGATGAACAATTTTTTTCCGTATTCTAAGTGGTCTTCCTATTCTGGGAGGGGGCGGGGAAGGGGAGGAGGGATGTGGGAGAGGAAGGCGGGGGGGGGGG